CCCCCCCCCCCGCCACCCCCGGTGCCTCAGCCTCCTCCTCCTCCTCTTCCTCCATCTCGTCCCGCTGCTCGCGGGCCTGCTCAAGAATCCTCTTGGTCATCTTGGGGGGAAGGTAGCCATCGCCTTCGTCATCGTCGTCGTCGTCATTTCCGCGGCCGCCGTCGCCGTTGCTTCTGGCTCTGGCCGCGGCCGCCCTCTTGGACCTCTTGCTGCCGGCCACCACCGTCTTCTTTTTTCCTTTGTCTTGAGGCTTCCCATCGAGAGCAATCTGCATCGGCCGGCCCCCGAAGTGTAGTTTTTTTATCGTTAGAGAAGTTGCGCGGGAAACGATGATTGGTTGCTGGGATGCATGTCGTCAGCCCTGCCGTCCATGGTTTTAAGAATACTCGGATGTAATTCTTCGCCGCTTGGACCGGTATCCCGACGGGTGTTATGGTTCATGTTTGTGTTCTATTTATTGGCACGGACCGTGCTTCAAGCCGGCTGAACAAATGATACGACATCAAGCTCAACACGTTTGAAACCGAAAACGCCGCTAAGGGCCAACATCATTCTCTTTCTCGTTCTGTGTGTGTACGATGACAGGGGTTGCGGGACCATGAGGTTGACCAGGGCATGACCAAACGCAGCACGTCTCCCACGGTGAGAGTAGAGACACTCACGCGACACGTTGGATACCACCTCCCCCCCCCACAGATGTACTGCAGTCATCGACATCGTTTGTGCGGGGGTCAAAAGAGCCCGAAAGCAAAAAAAAACTGTCAACACTTGCAATCATTGTCGTTCGTTCGTAGCCTTCTCCGCGGTACTTCCCATGGGATGTTGGCAGCTGGCAGTGCCCGAGGTTCCGACGGCCAATCGCACGATCCACTACACGGTGCGGAGCAACCGCTGGTACACGCCAGCATGAAGTCACGTGGCTGAACCATGTACATAGGGAGCTGCTGTCGAGCCAACATAAAAGGCCTTGTGCCATGAGTCAACCTCTGAAGCGTTGCTGGCCGAAACATTTGGGTAAAATCGCCGCATGCGCACAACCATCAAGTGTGCTTCCAGGTGGCGAAGGCGGGACTGTCAGCATTCTGGAGCTCGTCCACCTGTGCCCACCTCACCACTGGCTTCAGCAGCAGGGTCTGGCGCCTATTGCCCCAGAGCGCGGTTACGATCGATGCTCGACTCTGTAATCCCTCAGACACTGGTGGAAAACGCCAATTGCTCTCACGAGACTGACTGCCTTGAAAGCTGTCGGGCAGGCTCCCATCTCATGCCACGATGCTTGCGGCACAACCACCCACCATTTCCGATCCCGCTGCTGGAAGCCGTGGCACGTGGTATGCTACATGAGACAGAAAGCTGTGATTCCCGGCCATTGGTATCCTAAACCCGTTCGTGCATAGCTCGCGAAGACAACCAAGACGGCAGTCGGTATGTAGTGTGTTGTCGCACGAGATCTACCAGCCCTGGTACAACGCTAGGTGCGCCGCGCCTGCCCTCCACCGAAAAAAGCTGTTACGTTCAAATAATCCGCCTTCCGTAACCCACCTGTGTGGCTAGAGGCTGGTGCCTCATCCCAGGGCCTGCTTTCTCCTTCTTGTGCTTCGGCATCACAGTGCCTTACTGCCCTTCCTCTGGGCCCGATTTCTTTGCCTCTTCGCCTGCTGTACTCGCTGCTGTCCTGCTGTGTTTGTGTGGTCAATCGCAATATCGGCACCTGGACGCATGGAACTCCTGCACCTCGAATTCTCGGTCAGGGGAAGCTTCATTTTCTCCCCCCCCCCCC